ACTGTTTTTCCATGACACATTCATAATCATTACTTCTGCCGGTGTGCTGTGGCAAGCTTTATGCATGTGCTTGAGTGCTTGTTAGGCTACGTAGGAAATTAAAGGCTCATTATAATCATTTAAAACGTTTATTAATAAACGTGCGATTAGTCGACTAATGCTTAAAATGAACGACTACTAGTCGACCAGAAAAATCCTTAGTCGAGGGCAGCCCTAATAAGTACATATTTGTTGTCATAATTTAATTTCATTGTCTTCAGTGTGTGTGTGTGTGTGTGTGTGTGTGTGTATATATATATATACCTGAGGTAAACGTATCATTATGCAATGTTTACAAACAGTTTTATTGAAGTCTTTCTGTGGTTGAAACACTGATCCTTTATGTTGTTTTAATGCTATAAATAGTAGTAAAGAGGAACAGATGAACGTGTTCCCTCCCTCCAATGTGCTGCTGTTTCAACTGGCACTACAGCGATCTGTCATTGCCACATCAAAGAGCGTCAGAATGTTGATTCTTAACAAATATAGAATATAACAATACAGGGCTTATTGCGTTTACTGGACGGGAGCCGCACTAGCATTGTTTTATATCCCGAAGTTTTATTCACGCATCAACTTAAACAGCATAGATTAAAAAAATCGATGGAATTTAAGAATCAATATTGATTCGTTGAAATGAAGATAAATAATTCTAGGGAGTTTCAAATTAAGTTCACTGTATTTGTTCGGTATACAAGTGTGAACTGAAAAACCCATAGTGGAAAACCCATTCTGAAAATATATGTAATGTTACTACACCCCTAATATCAATATGAAAGAGCACAAATGCACACACAAAAACTGTTTCAAATGATTTCATTATCAGGGTGGCACTGTCGCCTCACAGCAATAAGGTGCTCCTGGTTTGAGTCCTGGCTGAGTCATGAGGCTTTTCTTTGTGGGGTTGGCATGTTCTTACTATGTTGGAATGGGTTTTGTCCAGGTTTGTCCCCCACAATCGAAAAGTAGGTGACATACAGAATAGGTGAATTGGAGACACTACATTGCCCGTATAGGTCTGAGTAAGAGTGTAAATGTGTATTTGTCTTTGTGTGTGAGCCTGCTATGGACTGGCTGGCCATCCATCCAGGGCATTCAAGTGGTTTGGAAAATTTACGGAAGTAATTTGTACTGAATACAAACAAAAAAGTATGATGCACTAAGATGGATTTTAAACATAGTACGTGGTCTTGAAAGCATGTAAATTACATGTAAATACCATAGTACATGAATAAGGCGATGATTCAGTATCAAGGTACCATTTTCTTTGCAATGAAAGGGTCTAAATATGAATTAAGCCATTTGAAGATACTTACTTCAAAGAAAAATGGGTAGGCATTGACACCCAGTTTACGCAGTAATTTATCCTGCACCTTGGTAAGAATGCCCTGCTCTTTGTCCTGCAGTGTGGGGTAGATCTGCCGGATGGATATGTAGATCTCTCGTCTGAATGTGATGCCCAGCACGTCCATGTCATTACCTCCATATCTGAATGTGCAGGATAAAGTGACATATGCTAGAGGGCGACAGAATCACAAAGCAAATCTCACTGTTATACATGTATGTAATCAGATGTATCTGATTTATTGCCTGTTCATTATGTAAACTTTGAGTGAATTTATTGACCTTTTTTCCCTTTAAGCTGTTCAGGGTCAATGAGAAGGACACCATCTGATGGAAAAAGAAAAACACAATAATATTAAAAAGTAAACAGAAATGAAAGTTTTAAGAAATACATTAAGTGCTTAAAATCACAGGCAGGTTAATAAAATTATGCCTATTCTCTCACATACCCACTGGATCCACAGAGTCAACATGGTCAACAAAGTCTCTCTTCCCCATATACACACCCACCTGATTTAAAAACACAACATACAGTATATTACTTGATGAGCCTAAAACAGAAAAAGCCTTCATTCAGTTGTGTGTTTTTTTTCAGGTCGCTCTAATATATTGTCACGACACACACACAAGGATAACCGTAGGATAACATTTTAATCCATGGAACACAGGGTACATAAACACAGGAGACAGCAGGAAACACATCCATGTAACGAGTAGACCAGACAAAAGGGAAACTGAACAGGCAGGAACTTAAATACAAGGGTAATTAATAGAACACAGCTGAACAGAATCATAATTTAAAAAAAACAAGAACAGGAAAATGACCAAATAAGGAAACACAGAAAGGTACATGAGGAGCAAAACACACACAAAACACGGACCAGAGTCTGACATAACTCCCCCTTCCCGGAAGGCGTGTCCCGCGCCACACAACATCCAATGGGTAGGGGGGGGTGGGCGCTCTGGAGGCCTCTATGAGCAGGGTTACCGGACAGAAGGCCTCCAGGGTGGCGCCCGTTCCGGGATCCATGGCGGATCCGGCAGTTTGGGGCGGAGCAGGTGACTCGGGAGGCCATGGCGGAGCAGGGAGCTCGGGGAGCCATGGCGGAGCAGGTAGTTCAGGAGGCCATGGCAAAGCAGCCTCCGAGGCCGCGACCCCTACTACCCCCCCCCCAAATACTTGGGGACACTTACGGGTTCCGAGGCCCTCCGTGGGCCATGACAGGGGACTGGAGCCCTCCCTGGGCTTAACTGGGGATCCGAAGCTCTCCCTGGGCTTAACTGAGGATCTGGAACCCTCCCTGGGCTCGACGGGGAATCAGGAGCCCTCTGTGGGCTATACTCGGGAGCAGGAGCCCTCTGAGGGCTATACTCGGGAGCAGGAGCCCTCACTGGAGCGAGCTCTGGGGCTGGAGCCGACATTGGAGCGAGCTCCGGGGCTGGAGCCGACACTGGAGCGAGCTCTGGAGCAGGAGCCGACACTGGAGCGAGCTCTGGGGCGGCCGGCGGGTTTGACTCGGGAGCAGCCGGCGTGCTTGGGGGAGCCACGGCCGGCGGGCTCGACTTCGGAGTGGCCGGCAAACTTGACTCTGGAGCGGCCAGTGGGCTTGTGGGAGCCGTGGCCGGCAGACTTGACAACGGCAAGGCCGGCGGGCTTGTCTTCGGAGTGGCCGGCGGGCTTGTCTTCGGCGCGGTCGGCGGGCATGACAACGGCCGCGGCCAGTGAACTTGACTTCTGAGCAGTCGTCGGGCTGTAGTGAGCCACGACCGGCGGGCTCGACTTCGGAGTGGCCAGCAAACTTGACTCTGGAGCGGCCAGCAGGCTTGTGGGAACCGTGGCCGGCAGACTTGACAACGGCGCGGCCGGCGGGCTTGTCTTCAGAGCGGCCAGCAGGCTTGACTTCTGAGCGGCCGGCGGGCTTGTCTTCTGAGCGGCCGGCGGGCTTGTCTTCGGCGCGGCCGGCGGGCTTGTCTTCGGCGCGGTCGGCGGGCATGACAACGGTGCGGCCGGCGAACTTGACTTCTGAGCAGCCGGCGGGCTGGAGTGAGCCGCGACTGGCGGGCATGACAACAGCGCGGCCGGCGCGCTTGACAGCGGGGCAGTCCTCATACCGCAGGGAGAAGAAAAGGGAAAACTAAATATAACAAAAAACGGAAATAAAAACTCGGGAGAAGGGGCGCCGCTTACTGTCTGGGTCTGGTCTTCTGTCATGACACACACACGAGGATAACCGGAACTAAGGAGCGAGGAGACAAGGAATATACGAAACAGTCTTTAATCCATGGAACACAGGGTACATAAACACAGGAGACAGCAGGAAACACATCCACGTAACGTGTAGACCAGACAAAAGGGAAACTGAACAGGCAGGAACTTGAATACAAGGGTAATTAATAGAACACAGCTGAACAGAATCATAATTAAACTAAACAAGGACAGGAAAATGACCAAATAAGGAAACACAGAAAGGCACATGAGGAGCAAAACACACACAAAACACAGACCAGAGTCTGACAATATCCAGATAAATAGCCAAAATTTAATTTAATTCAAAACGCACTTCACAATTATTTTTTTAAACGCACATTTTGTTGTGGTTGTTCTAAATTGTTCTTCCCGAGGTACTAGTCCTAGTAAAATTTTACTAATAAATCCATGTCTAAGGGAAAGTGTATATACTGAACTCCAACAGTACATACCGGACACATTTAACAAGATTTCATATTGTGTGTTCCCTCTGTCCCCTATTTTCTGTTGGCCATTTAGAATCAATAAGACAACCACATACAATCCAGCAAGAAACCAACCCTACAAATGCATTTGATCACACCAGCTTGTGAACGACTCCAATACATTTTCTAACCAAAAGGATATCAAAGAAAGTATCATCACTATGACATTATCATACACACACGCAGGGCGTCCTTTGGGCGGTGCAACTGGTGTGGTCGCGGTCACGGCGAACGGACCAGTTGCACCCCCACTCCCTCACCTCCCCCCCCCCACCATGGAACGCGATCGTGAACGGAGCTCACCGGGCCCTGCGTCAGCTAAAGACCGCCCTGCACACACACACACACACACACACACACACACACACACATAGTCAGCTCCAGAAAGAAGGTCCCTGGTTCAAGTCCTGGCTGAGGCATGAGGCCGTTTTGTGTGGAGTTTAATTGGAATGCTCTCCCTATATTTTCTCCCTATGTTTCCTCTGTGCTCTAGTTTCTCCCACAATCCAAAACATGCAGAATAGATTTAATACAGACACTGAATTGTCAGTAGGTGTGAGCGACAATGGGAATGTGTGTATGTCTGTGTGCTTTAGCCCTGAGATAAGCGGGCCATCCATCCAGGATATTTCCCTGCCTATGGCCGTTGTCCTTAACTCCGGTCCTAGGGACCCACCGATCTGTGCATTTTATGTGTCCCCTATTTACAGTAACACACCAAATTCAGATCATCATCTTATTAGGAGCGAGATCAATTAATTGAACTGAGTGTGTCAGATAAGAGAGACATCCCTGCAAACAAGCCTGCACTGGCCCTTTATGGGCCCACTTAGGGCTAGCCTAAGGGCCCCCAGCGGGCTGCCAGCGCAGGGCCTCTGAGATTTTGCTCATTGGCAAAACGTTGGCCTCTTAGTGCTGGCCCTGCATGGGCAGCCCTCACTTAGCCCACACTATTAATCTACAACAATATTTACTCCTCTCGAAACTTTGTGTCACTGAGTCACAGCCCACGACGATGGTATCCAAAAGTCTGGGCAAACTGGACGCAAACAGGAGAGTCTCTCACTCGAAAAGTCTCCCGAGGTCAACAGGCGTCTCTCCGACATCCATGACGCTCTAGCTTTCACAGCGAAACCCGCCCATCTGCCACGCTTCCCCCGTCTGCCACGCTTCCGACGGCGATTGCTCCGAATCCGCCGAGTTCGCCGGTACCCACACTCTAGGCCGAGCCAAGGTTCCACTGACATAGATGGCATGAATCGTGGGTGAAAACAACACTTTCCACTCCGAGTGAGATCGTCCATCACTGCACGAATGTGAAGCAAAGTTTTGCAGTCTTAAGTCCAGAGAGAGTAGTTAGGGCTAATAAGACATACAAATAAAACAAAAAACATTAAAATAGACAACACGGAACGACGGCCAGCCAACACACACGGCGCCATCTTGAAGAATCAGAGAATCATTACTAATCCAATTCCTAATTGTCAGAATCATTACTAATCCATTACTGGAACAATCAAAAAATAGTCCAGACTATGGTCTCATGTCGAAAAGAACGTTAAATCCATATTCAAACAGAACCATGATGTGGTAACCTCACCAATAAAGAGTCCTACTAAAATGCATACAAATACATTTAAACTCTTAGCATCAATCCAAACATAGGCCATACATACATGTACCATATCTGCAAAAAACATCAGCAATGTGCATATTTAAATAGAAAAAAGAAAAAAAACCTCCTTTAGACTGGGCTTGAAATGACACATTTCCCAGAACTAAACTCTGCAGGAAAGTGGATCTTGTGAGACACGCATCCAAACTTTTACTTTACTTTTAGTCATTTAGCAGACGCTTTTATCCAAAGCGACTTACAAATAAGATCAAATAATAATGCCCATCAATAATTGAGGATAGTAAGAATGTAAGGGCTGTTGATATGGCTTTGGATGCGACTAGCTCAGGGAGTCCTGTACATTGTTTGGTTTCAGTTACAATGCCTCTGCAGCAGGGCGACTGGGTGACTGTGAGGCGGCATAGTCGTGGGTCAAAACACCGCTCTTCTGTTCCGATCAAAACATCAAACAGGTTCTCCCCACTCAGTGACACATCCACTGAGAAACCTGATGAAAGTGCTCAAGTTATTGGCGATTCTATTGCACGGAACGTGAAAATATAGATACCAGCCACCATTGTCCAATGTTTACCGGGAGCCAGAGCGCCTGACATCTTGGCAAATTTAAAAGTGCTGGCTAATGCTAAACGTATATTCAGTAAGATTGTTATTCACGCCGGTGTACTGGCGAAACATGCTACCTATCAGGTTGTGCTACCAAAAATATAGTTGCATTGTTTTAAGGGTAATTTTACGGTAAGGGTAAGTATGGACGGGTAGGTTTAGGGTAGGGGTAGGTATGGACATTAAAAAAAGCCTCAAACCACATGAGTAAGATGCTGGTAGCACAATCTGATAGGTAGCATTTTTCGCTATCGATTTGTGCTACCGTAGCACAATCTGAGCGGGTAGCACAAATTGTCAGAACACCGGCGCTAATGATGTTCGACTTCGCCAGTAGGAGATCACTCAAAAAAACATTAAAGAGGTGTGTGAACTTGCAAGTACGATTTCAGACACTGTAATATGCTCTGATCCCCTCCCTGCTTACTGTGGTGATGAGATACATAGCAGACTGTCGTCACTCAATGGCTGGATGTCTAAGTGGTGCCCACAGAATATTGGATGAGTTTTTGGGGCAGACCTGACCTGTTGAAAAGAG